CTTTCAGTGGACTATAAAATGGTCAGCTCATTTTGATTGGCTCACTAGTACATATAAGTATAAAAAAAAACTGTAACAAGATGAACGTGAATGCTTATTCCATGTCTTCTATATATCAGCTTGTATGGCTGCCTGCAAAGATGAAGAAAGAAAGGAATTATTATGCGTTTACGCTTGTTTTCAAAAATAAAATTCGTTTGTTTAATTCGCGCGACTTTATTTATGGCAGAACGAAACACACTTTTTATGAATAATTTCATGTATTCGATTTTCCTGCAGGATTCAATATTTATTTGAATTTTTTTAGTCGTAATCCATGTTCACAGCAGAAGAAGGAAGAAATCTCCAAGTTGAAATTTAACGGCTTTGACTCTTGCTTGTTTTTTTTTCCAATATTTTTTAATAGGATTTTTTGTTTTTTCAGATCGCGGATTTCAGACAAAAGGAGAAAAAAAGATATTGACGATGATGATGATGGTCATGAAGAAAAAAGAACAAAGTATTTATTTCATGAGGACTGTCCCTTTTATTTTTGCAATTTATCCAATTTGTAAGAGGAGGGAAGAAAATTAAACGAATCATTTTTTTGTCTATATGAGGAAGAAAATCAAATGAATACCAAGAGAAATTGACAGATTAAATAGAAGAAGAAAGAAGAAGGCAGATAAGAAGCAATTTTAAATGAAATGATTCAAACAAAAAAAATAAGAAGAATTTCTTCTAAAGAAGAAGAAGAAAAGAAGAAGAAGAAGAAGAAAATACAATTTTAAAACAAAAATTTAGAATGACATTCAAAAGAATCTTCAGAAAAAGGACAATTTTTTTATTGGTTTAGAAAATGTTTTTCTCAGAAGAAGGAGGAGGAGGAGCATCTCAGGACTTTAAGAAGAAGAAGAAGAAGAAGAAGAAAAATGAATCTTCATGACAAAAGAAGAAGAATCTTCTATGTATTTTATTTTTTGAGAACAGAAGAAGAAGAACTATTGTTTTTGACTAGAAGAAAATTAAGAATTGGAAGAAGAATCAAGAAGAAGAATAAAAAAATCAAGCAATCAATTCATTTGAAAATTAAAGAAGATATTATTTTCTAAATGTTTTTAAGGAAAACTTTGAAGAATTGGCAATATTTAAATTTAAGAAGGATGAAGAAGAGGAGGTGAATAATTAGGGGAGGATTAGGAATAGAAGAAAAGATTTATAAACATATAAGGAAACAGAAGAAGGAGGACATAGGATTTATATATATATAAGAAGAAGAAGAAGAAGAAGATTTTTTAAACAAGGAGAAGATTTCTTTGAAAAATTATAAAAATATTTTAGAACAAAATGGAGAAGAAGCCGGAAAGACAGAAATTTTAGAAGATGGCGAATGACAAAAATTTAAATATTTGAAAAAAAAGAAGAAGATATTTTCAGGCCCGTTGGATTAATGGATATCGGCTCGGATTGAAATGTTAATCGAATTCTAAGAAACCATTATATTTTCTTACGTGCTAATACGATTGGTAAAGATATGAATTTTTTCTTCTTTTTTTTTTTTTTTTATTAGTAAATAGTATTATGTACTGGGTTATATAGCCTTTTCAAAAAATTTATGTCTACCGCAGAAAGAAACGGCAACCTAAATAGAAATATCCGCCAACTACAGTCATATATCGAAAGATACCTTTTAATGTGTATAGCCTGGCAATTTTAAATTTTACTGACTTTGCAGTCGAATCCATTACATTCACTTGTTTGCTGATACCCACAAATAAGGTATCAATTTATCTTTTCCTCCCCACCATCTATGAAGAAATAGCAGGACAGACAATTGTTCTATAGCCTTGATGGCAACTGGTCCACCAAAGAAAAAAAATGGCAACCTACCGCGTGAAAAAAAATAGCCTCGTCAAAACATGTATCTTTGATACATGATCGTTCAACAAATTTCCCATATTGAACATAAAATGAACTGAATTACTAAATGTAAGAGAAACGGGAATTTAGTTCCTCAGGTAGGAAGCGCGGTGAAAAAAAAACTGTCAGAGTAGAATGTGTGATTTCATTTAGCTATTTCAGCAGTTTTTTTAAAAGGGAGGGACCTAGATATCAATCGTGTAGCGCCAGGGAAAAAAAAAACGACAGAAATTTTGTTCATGAAAATATTTATAGAAAAGGCAAAGGGAAGCCACGTCGGTGAGAAACTGATGCAAGTCGAGATACCAGTTTAAGATCTATTACGTCACAGATTCTTCTTTGGACTTTGTCAACAAACCTCGAGATGAATAAGCAGGAGCATCAGACGGATGAATGAGAAAAAAACCTCCTTCTAGGTACAGTGACCCAAATATATATATATATATATATATATATATATATATATATATGAAATGGACAGTGTCCGACAATTATTTTAAGACATCTTTTTATGTTTATACGTTCTTTTTATAGATAGAAATATTTAAGTAAATGGTCTGTTTATTATAAACAAAAATCTCCTGAGCCGACCAAGCATAGAAATGAATACAATATGGGAACCAGTAATAAGAAGTGCCAGAGAAAAGCAATGAAAACAACAAAGTTGCAATATGAGCTCTGGTAAAAACATGCAATGATAACAGCAAAAATTGCAATATGAGCACCGGTAAAAACGGTTGCTGAAGACATTAGATTTATAATACCCAGAAATTCATACCCAGATGTCCTCTGGCACAGTGGATAAAGTCGTTGGTTAGATACAGTGACAGGACCCAAAGAGTGTGAGTTCAATACCCTGTTAAGGCAGTAGAGAACTTTCGGAGTGATAAATATGGCGACAAAGACGAGGTCAATAGTCCGAATAATGTAAATAATGTCGAATTTACTGTTTTTAAACTACAATTCTCCATGATTTCTCTCGTACATTCATATCTGCTCGATGCGTATCCAAATGTAAACGAATGACGTCACATATTATGAAATGGACAAGGTCGGACAGTTATTTTAAGACATTTTTTATGTTTATACGTTCTTTTTATAATGACGCTTAAATTCGTGAAGGCGAGGAACCAATTCAGCCTCATTTATCCTGTCAATTTATCTTTGTGGCCGGACTAGCAGAGGCACACCTCAGCTTGAGAAGTGGTTGCCCTGAGGAATGTCCTCCTTTCTCATTACGTGTCCCTAACATTTCAGCGGCCTCTTCCTGATGTTATGTATAAGCTTCTCCTTGTTTGCTTCCCCTCGAAAACCTTATCGTTCGGTCCATGATATCCTTAGCATCCTTCTGCAGACCCATACCTCTGCTACCTCGAGTCGCTTCATCTTTGAGGAGACTGTCCAACATTCGCTGCCGTAAAGGAGGGCAAGTGTCACGTAGCTGTTCAGTACTCTTTTCTTTATTAACAACGAAATTCCTCCTGTCTCATAATACTCTGCCTAACTTTTGGAATGTGTTTTTGGCCATCCCAATATGTCTTCGGATCTCAGCGTCGCACTTACCGTCAGATGAGGAATTATCATTATGATACACTGATTTATTCAATCTGTTATCCTCATCTTGGTTGTTTTAGTCTCAATGTTTAGAATCTTATTTTCTATTTGAATTTCTCAGATGAGGAATTATCATTATGATACATTGATTTATTCAATCTGTTATCCTCATCTTGGTTGTTTTAGTCTCAATGTTTAGAATCTTATTTTCTATTTGAATTTCTCAGATGAGGAATTATCATTATGATACACTGATTTATTCAATCTGTTATCCTCATCTTGGTTGTTTTAGTCTCAATGTTTAGAATCTTATTTTCTATTTGAATTTCTCAGATGAGGAATTATCATTATGATACATTGATTTATTCAATCTGTTATCCTCATCTTGGTTGTTTTAGTCTCAATGTTTAGAATCTTATTTTCTATTTGAATTTCTCAGATGAGGAATTATCATTATGATACACTGATTTATTCAATCTGTTATCCTCATCTTGGTTGTTTTAGTCTCAATGTTTAGAATCTTATTTTCTATTTGAATTTCTCAGATGAGGACTTATCATTATTATACATTGATTTATTCAATCTGTTATCCTCATCTTGGTTGTTTTAGTCTCAATGTTTAGAATCTTATTTTCTATTTGAATTTCTCAGATGAGGAATTATCATTATGATACACTGATTTATTCAATCTGTTATCCTCATCTTGGTTGTTTTAGTCTCAATGTTTAGAATCTTATTTTCTATTTGAATTTCTCAGATGAGGAATTATCATTATTATACACTGATTTATTCAATCTGTTATCCTCATCTTGGTTGTTTTAGTCTCAATGTTTAGAATCTTATTTTCTATTTGAATTTCTCAGATGAGGAATTATCATTATGATACACTGATTTATTCAATCTGTTATCCTCATCTTGGTTGTTTTAGTCTCAATGTTTAGAATCTTATTTTCTATTTGAATTTCTCAGATGAGGAATTATCATTATGATACACAGATTTATTCAATCTGTTATCCTCATCTTGGTTGTTTTAGTCTCAATGTTTAGAATCTTATTTTCTATTTGAATTTCTCAGATTAGGAATTATCATTTTTATGCACTGATTTATTCAATCTGTTATCCTCATCTTGGTTGTTGTTGTTGGTGTTGTTGTTGTTCTTCTTCTTCTTCTTCTTCTTCACATCCTACCTTTCTATTACACACAACGTCGTGCGTTTGTTTATTTGTTTTTAAATCATTAATAGGTCATTTGATAAACATTAAAGTAAGGTTGAAACCAGGGTAGCGGATTCAACTGGCCTCCTGATTTTTAAAGTATATATATATATATATATATATATATATATATATATATATATACATATATATATATATATAGCTAAATCTCCTATGAAACTGGAGGTATAAGGTCCCTTAAATGGTGAATGATTGACGATTTCTGTAACAAGAAGGTTATATTAAGAATTGCTTTCCTCATCAACCACCAGGTGGCGCCTGTGTATTTGTTACTGAATGAATTGAATGAATACAGCCGACAATTGACATGAATGAGATCATGTCGTACTTACGTCGTTCAGCAGTGTCGTAAATTCCAGGCCTGTGGACAGCTGTGGCGACTGGTTGGTGATAATTGACACAGAAGTGCGTAATAGTCGGAAATTTATGAAATGAGGAGGACAAAGCACGAGGAGTTCTTCTAGTGAATGGCGCGCCAGGACAGATCAGAACTTCATTCAGACTTGATTATAGAAGTGGTGCCGACGATCTCGGACCAGAAAACGGCACAAATTGTCGGCGTTTCTCGAGCGAGACAGGAGTAGATTATAATGGCGCTGGTGTGAGGCAGAAGTCCGGGAGGAAGGCCGTCTGTATCACGTGAAGTGATTTGTCTTTATGGCAGAAAACCAATTTTGTGTTGTCGCGAAAAATTCCCGAAAGAGAGATCTCCTTTCCTTGTCAATTTTTGTATTGCGTGTCGTCTATATTAAGCTCTTAACATTTGTTTCTAGTTGATTTATAGGACGCCATATTGTCTACCGGATGTTGTTATTAGCAAAGGGTCACGTGACACATGATCTGTTCTTTAATTCTTCAGTCGTTACACTCTTAGGAAAATAATGAATATAAAAACGTTAATGTATATTTTAATAAGTACTAGAAACTCATAGGATTTCTTTAGTGTTTCGGGTTTCCTTTTGGATTATATCTATCTATCTATCTATCTATCTATCTATCTATCTATCTATCTATCTGTCTGTCTGTCTATCTGTCTCAGTCCTATTAATCTATAAATATATTTATGTATCTCAGTCCTATCTATCTATCTATCTATCTATCTATCTATCTATGTATTTATGCATCTCAGTCCTATCTATCTATCTATCTGTCTGTCTGTCTATCGGTCTATCTATCTGTCTCAGTCCTATTAATCTATAAATATATTTATGTATCTCAGTTCTATCTATCTATCTCAGTCCTATTAATCTATCTATATATTTATGTATCTCAGTCCTATCTATCTATCTATCTATCTATCTATCTATCTATCTATCTATCTATCTATCTATCTATCTCAGTCCTATTAATCGATCTATATATTTATGTATCTCAGTCCTATCTATCTATCTATCTATCTATCTATCTATCTATCTATCTATCTATCTATCTATTTCAGTCCTATCTATCTATCTATCTATCTATCTATCTATCTATCTATCTATCTATCTATCTCAGTCCAGTTAATCTATCTATCTCAGTCTTATATATATATATATATATATATATATGTGTGTGTGTGTGTGTGTGTGTGTATATATATATATATATATATATATATATATATATATATATATTAGATATGTTCATGAGATTGCTGGAAAATGAGCATAGCATGATAAAAACGACTTTAAACTTGACGAAAGCAAAATTTTATCATCAAAATGCTTATTCAGAGGAAAGATCAAAGTAATTTTTAATTATTTTTTTAAAAATTTCTGTCTTTATTAGAACATTCTAACTTTTGATTGAAAAACCTTGTTTCTCTTCATCACCGGAACTACTAGTAAATAACATGGCGAATTATTTTGAAAATCTTGCAAAAATTGAAATAATTGTCAGATTTTAATGAAACTTTCAAAACCTATTCAGGAATGATGGAAATTATTATAAATATTTTATTTTTTTTAGAGTGTTGATAAATATATATATATATATATATATATATATATATATATATATATATATATATATATATATATGTTACCCACCCCCAAATAATTTAATGAAAACTCTAGAAATTGAAATCCGCTCTGTATTGTAACATACAAAACTCAACAGAACAAAGATATTATTAAATTTTAAATGCTTTTAGTTGCTTTTATTTGTTTTTACGAATATGCCTAATATTGTCTGAAGGCAAAAAACTTTTTGGATGAAAAATGAATTTTTAAAAGAATTAATTGTTATTTCATAAATTATTTTATTATTTTTACTTTAAAGTTTTGAAATATTGTAAAATTAGTGGAAATGTCAAATTCTTTACTAAATGTTTTTTTTTTAAGTACAACTGTCTGTACAGATTATAAATTGTATAAGTTTTTTACAATCCACGAGCTACCAGTTAAAAAAAAATCTTACAAAATCTTGCCTTTGTATCAATAAAAACAGTTATAATTCGTATGTACGGAAGCCCGGAAGAAGCATGATAAAATCATCACGTGACTAGATTTTGTATATAAATGTTGTTCGGCACTGTTCATGGCCTTTACATTTTTACATTTACGATAGGCGAAACATGTGCGGAGAAGTTTTACTTAAAAAAAAAAGAACTATATATCATCCTATATACGACTAGAAGTAGAAGCAGAAAATTTTGAAAAGTAAGTAACAATAACGATGTAAATAAGTTGTTCATGTAAAGCTAAACTGTCACTTGTGACCTTCCGTACTATAACTTTTGCTCACGTAAGATGGCACTAGGTGATGAAATCACGTCTCTTGTCAATCAACATCGCTATTAAGCCCGGTTTTCTCGCATATTAAAGTACATTTTTTTAGCGCATAAAGTAAGTAATGTTTGTTTCAAAATATATTAAATAAACTATAATTTCTAAATTAATTTTTAAAAAATCATAATTGATTTTTTAAAAAGAATTTTAAACGGCGACTTTTCTCTTTTGTAAGTTAAAAATCTGCTGACGATCGATTTTCTGTCAATTTTGCAGATTCAAAAAATACAAGATTATTAAAGAAATTTTGAACGTGCTAGAAATTATTAAAAAATGTAAAAGAAATAATGAAAAATATTTTAATCTTTCCTCTTTATAATAACATTAACATTTAGACGATAAAAATTTATTTTCATCAAATTTAAGGCTTTTTTTTTATTCATGCTATACTGCTTTTTATATGGATCTTATAAACATACCTATATATATATATATATATATATATATATATATATATATCAGTCGATATTTATCTCAGTTTTATTTATCTATCTATCTATCTATATCTATCTCAGTCGTTTTCATGACTATCTATCTATCTATTTATCTATCTCAGTCTTTTTATATTTATCTGTCTCAATATTATCTATCGAAGTATTTACCTGTTTCTGTCTGTTCATAACTATCTATATATGTCCTATCCATCTATCTATTATTCTTAGTCTGTTTGTATTTATCTGAGTCTTATCTATGTTATGTACGTATATCTATCTATCTACCTATCTATCTATCGATCTATCTCAGTCTTTTTATATTTCTCTCTCTCAAACTTATTTATCTAACTATGTATCTATTTCTGTCTATTCATATCGATCTATCGAGCTAGCTAGCTCTGTCTGTTCTTATCTATCTATCTATCTATCTATCTATCTATCTATCTATCTATCTATCTATCTATCTCAGTCTGTCCATATCTATTTCATTCTGTTCGTAAGTATCCATCTCATTCTGTTTATATATCTCTCTCAGTTGGTTCATAAGTATCTATCTATCTATCTATCTATCTATCTATAACAGACATTCATTTGTCTCTCTCCCTCTCTCTCTCTGCCTAGTGAACGTAATGTATCCTCAGTCAGTACATGTTTATCTATCTATCTATCTATCTATCTATCTATCTATAACAGACATTCATTTGTCTCTCTCCTCTCTCTCTCTCTCTCTCTCTGCCGAGTGAACGTAATGTATCCTCAGTCAGTCCATGTTTATCTATCTATCTATCTATCTATCTATCTATCTATCTATCTATCTATAACAGACATTCATTTGTCTCTCTCCCTCTCTCTCTCTCTCTGCCGAGTGAACGTAATGTATCCTCAGTCAGTACATGTTTATCTATCTATCTATCTATCTATCTATCTATCTATCTATCTATCTATCTATCTATAACAGACATTCATTTGTCTCTCTCCCTCTCCCTCTCTCGTCCTCCTGACCGTAGATATTTCTCAGTCTGTTCATGTTTATCTATCTTTCTATCTATCTATCTATCTATCTATCTATCTATCTATCTATCTATAACAGACATTCATTTGTCTCTCTCCCTCTCCCTCTCTCGTCCTCCTGACCGTGATATATCTCAGTCTGTACATGTTTATCTATCTATCTATCTATCTATCTATCTATCTATCTATCTATAACAGACATTCATTTGTCTCTCTCTCTCTCTCCCTCTCTCGGCCTCCTAACCGTGATATATCTCAGTCTGTACATGTTTATCTATCTATCTATCTATCTATCTATCTATCTATCTATCTATCTAAGTTTGTTTATCTATCTATTTTTTTTCTTCGTAGTACTAGCAACTGTAAATATTGATGTTCGGGTTGTGTGAAAAATCAGACTGACAATTTCGAATTCCAGTTGTTTTATTACATTCCATTTTTTTTTATATCCTTACAGTTTTCATGAAGTGTTTTTTCTCTGTTCTCTTTCTAGAAATTTCTAGCATTTCTTATCTGTGCTAGATTCTAGCATTTCTTATCTGTGCTAGATTCTGGGTGTTAGTAATTAGCCGAAAACGCTTAAGACAGTTTAGTTCCTACAATCTGTTTATCACAAGAAAATCGCCAATAAGTTAAAATCGAAGAACATTAGAAAAACCGATGAAAAATTCGATGAAACGTCTGTTGTCCTTATGATTGTTGTTCTTATAACAAAATTTAGGCCGTTGAACTCTCCGGCCTTCGTCAGGTGTATATCGATACAGATAACCTACAGGGAATTCCGAACTGAACACTTTAGTCAATCTCCGAGGGTACACTGTTTACGTTCCACTGTCCATATCTAGGTATCTCTCGTCTCATTCCTATTTTAGTACTGCTCATTTATTGCTCGGGCTGTAGGTTACCCGTATCGATATATTCTGAACTAAACCCATTATTTAATCTACGGAGTTAGGCTATTCTCGTTTTACAACCCTTGTCTCGGGATATCTCGTCTAGTTCTTATTTTTAGTACTGGTTCATTTATTGCTCGCCCTGTAGGTTACCCGGATCGATATGTTCAGGGAATACCAAACTAAACACTTTATTTAATCTACGGTGGCAGACTGTTCTCTTTCCACTTGCCATGTCTCGGGATATTTCATCTAGTTCTTATTTTTAGTACAGCTCATTTATTGCTCGTCCTGTAGGTTACCCTAATCGATATATTCAGGGAATTCTGAACTAAACCCTTTATTTGATCTACGTGGGTAAACTATTCTTGTTCCACTGCCTATGTCTCGGGATATCTCGCCTAGTTCTTATTTTTACACTATTTTCATTATTCGGACTATTCTCCTCAACTTTGTCGTCATATTTATTACAACGTTTCGGTCGTTATACGCTCCGGCCTTCTTCAGGTGGATGGAAAGTCGAACTGAACCCTTTATTTCGCTCACTGGGGTAGACTGTTCCAGTTCCATGTGCCATGTTTAATGGATGTCAGTTATCAGTTATCTCCTGTTAATTCCTCCCTGAAAGTTCTCCACTGCCTTAACCGGGTATTGAACTCACACCCTTTGCGTTCTGTCATTGGATCTGTCTAACGCCTTTATCCACTGTTCTATCTAGGTTACTCGGATCGATATATTCAGGGAAATCCGAAGTGAACACTGCCAATTTCACGGGATATCTCATTTAGTTCTTATTTTTAGTACGGCTCAGTTATTGCCAACTCTGTTTCCACTGAATCGAAGTTAACACTGCCCTCTCTAGAGATTGAACTGAAACTTTTATTTAATCTACGGTAGCAGACTGTTCTCGTTCCACTGACCATGTCTCGGGATATCTCGTCTAGTTCTTATTTTTATTACTGCTTCATTTATTGCTCGCCCTGTCTTCAATGAGACCAGGCACACACTGCCCGACCCAGAGATTGAACTCACAGTTATATCTCACCAAAATCCCGAACTAACTCCTTTCTCTACTTTTTCTGCAGTTAGTCGTACAGATATATATATATATATATATATATATATATATATATATATATATATATATATATATATATATATATATATACATATATATACGAAGGTCGTAACGTTGTGATAACAAAGATATTCCGAATGCAAATAGTGTAATTGATGATAATTTTTCATCCCAGAAATCAAGGGATATGAATCAAACATGTATAATGGAAGGTTTGATACCAGAATATATAATAGTATGTCTGTATAGAGAGTGAGTGAGACAGACAGAGAGGGAGAGAGGGAGAGAAAGAAAGAGGCAAATAAATGAGACGGAGACAAAGAGAGCAAATCTAAGATTACATTCACACAATGGCGCAGATAGCTCCAGGTTTCTATCCATATTATGTACCTTGAAGCATATTGGTTGTCCAAACAGAAACTCAATTGAGAACGTCTTCCAATTCATAAACACGGGGTCTGTGCCCCGTTGTGACAAGTCCTGCATGGTTGTTACCCGACGGCCGTCACGTGACGCTGGGACGTCCATTTTTGTAAAAGAGCTTCCGTTTGTCGCCGTTCCCTATGTCCTCATTGAATATCCGGGTCTTATTCTTGTCGGTTTGCCTCGAAAATCACACTCGTGTCTGCTTGACATCTCCCTTGGTGGCATTGTTACCACCGGAAGTTGACATCTTTGGTTGGTGGAGCGAACATCCCGATTTTTTTTTTCTTCTTTTAACATTCTCGAAGAATTCATTTCTTTATCGTGCCTCATGATACAACTAAAGATATTTCCCACAAGCAAGGCGATAATGTTACTGACACGCGACGACTGGGAGTGAAAGAGAATAAAAAATACTTTAGAATGAATCGAAAACACAATGGATAAACCTCTACTCCTGTACAAAAGAATGGGGAGGAGTGTGAACTGGGCGATCGCTTAACCTGACTACGCCTGTTGACGAGAAGCATAATTAAATGAAGTATTCTCGTAGATACGTTAGAAGATTTGAAGTTGTCTTTAGAAGGACTAGGAAACCCAGTCTTAAACAGGAAACAAATAAATAACCATCCAGTCTTATTCAAAAGACTGGGGAGGAGTGTGAACCGGGATATCGTTAAACTGTCTATCTTTATTGAGCAGAAAATAAATAAATAATTAGTGAGTAAAATTTCAGTCTTCAGGCGCAGACGTTAGAAATATGGATTTGGAATAGTCTTTAGACCGAGGAGGAGTTTGAACCTGATAATAGGAAACATATCTACCCTGATTGAGGAGACAATATATATATATATATATATATATATATATATATATATATATAATTCGCAGACAGTACTGATTCGCTGTATCACAGCGCCTCAGTGCGACTAGGCATCGGAATGCCTCAAACACGGATCGAAACCTAACCGATTTGATGTCAGTCAGTTTCTACCACTGAGCTACCTTCCTTTGACAGAGAGAAATAGTTAAATTTAGTGTATTGTTTTTACGAATGTAAACAAATGCCAATCAGCCGGAGTGCTCTATTCATTTTGCTGAAGAGCTTTGCATCAACGCATATGGCTGTTTTTTTATAGAATTTGCCTAACTTTCAACTGAAATATATTTTGAAGAGCTAAATTATGGCATTCGCAGCTCGTCAGTGCGACTAGACATCTGAATGCCTCAATCCCAGACTGAAACCCAACCGATCAAACATTTTTTTTTTAATATAAAGCTCATTTCCCAGACCCGAGCGACTGGTAAATAGTAGGAAAGACTGGGTCCTCTATCCTTGTTGATAAATGTGGAGGAGAAGGTCAATTTTGAGCTCAAAAGAAGAGGGTCGCTTTTGGATCTTGTTGCATACATTACCGCTATATCCGGCTCTTCGAAAAAGTCTGGTTAGTTCTGCATAAGCCTTCACTACAATATTCAAATTATCTGGCGTGTCGTCTGGTTGTTGGTTCTAAGAACTCATCTGCTGAACCCTAAAGCATAATAATTTTCTCTTATATAAATTACAAAACATCTAATATTTTGGCCAATTTAAGAATTACCAGGGGTTGAATCAAACCATTGAACTGTAGTGTATGTATATTTGATCACCTCATTTCGATCGCTGTGTACTTAGGGCTTCTTCATCTTGTTATGATATAAAGTACCATTATCGATGATGTTACGAAAACATTATATCAGTCACTGACCTCTTTCCTGAGAGAAAGGTTCTCAGATAAACTGTTATCCTCATCTTTTTTTCTGGTTTCTGGACTTCTTGTAAGCGTCTAAAATTCTGGGATAAAGTGTTTTCATTATTTACATTATTCGGACTATTGTCCTCATCTTTGTCACCATATCTATCACAAGGTTTCGGCCGTCGTACGCTCCGAATGTCGAACTGAACCCTTTCGCTCCACGTGCCATGTTTGATGGATGTCAGTTATGGATGTCAGTTATCTCCTGTTAATTTTCTCTCTGAAAGTTCTCCACTGCCTTAACCGGGTATTGAACTCACACACTTTGGGTCCTGTCACTGGATCTAACCAACGCCTTTATCCACGTTGCCATGTGTCCTTGAGGACATCTGGGTATGAATTTCTGGGTATTATAAACCTAATGTCTTCAGCAACCACTTTTACCAGTACTCTTATTGCAACGGCCGAAACGTCGTAATAAATATGGCAACAAAGATGAGGACAATATTCTGAATAATGTAAATAGTGTACATAATACCTCATCTCAGAAATATAGACAGATACTGAAGGGCCGAAAGGTTGTAATAAATATGGAGACAAAGATGAGGACAATAGTCCGAATAATGTAAATAGTGTACATAATACCTCATCTCAGAAATATAGACAGATACTGAAAGGTCGAAATGTTGTAATAAATAATATGGCGACAAAAATGAGGACAATAGTCCGAATACTGTAAATAGTGTACATAATACCTCATCTCAGAAATATAGACAGATACTGAAAGGCCGAAACTTTGCAATAAATATGGTGACAAAGATGAGGATAATAGTCCGAATAATGTAAATAGTGTACATAATACCTCATCTCAGAAATATAGATAGATATTGAAAGGCCGAAACGTTGTAATAAATATGGCGACAAAGATGAGGACAATAGTCTGAATAATGTAAATAGTGTACATAATAACTCATCTCAGAAATATAGACAGATACTGAAAGGCCGAAACGTTGTAATAAATATGGCGACAAAGATGAGGACAATAGTCCGAATAATGTAAATAGT